AATTTAAAGGCCTACGGATGTAGTGCTCTTCGAACCATTTATCTTTCTCCTTTGGCATTTTTTCGTAAATGTAATAACAACGGAGTTATGACTTGTAACAATTGCGTGGACCACCCTGTATATCGGAAAAGAAGATTGTTATACCTGTTCCGAAGGATCCACGGGATGAACGCTGGCCGGCATCGCGGGGCGCGAGCCTCCCCGTTTCCGGGGGGGGGGACGTTCTTCAACCGGAAATGGACGCTCCACGGCGAGTGTTCGAGCAAACTAGTTGACGCTGTCGAGCTGTCGACGGTCCAGGACGCGGGACGCGCGTGGATGAAGTTGGTCGGCGGATCGCCTCATCTCCCGGGGCTCTCCTGCGGCAGGAAGTGGCCTTTCGAAATTATTCGTGGGCCGCGAAAGGTACTTACCGGGCGATGCCTTTGCTCCCCCGGACTTTCCGGCCTAATTAGCCCGGATCCATTAAGTTTATCCGAGGGGGCATCGAGGTCGCCAAGTTCCCCGGGGAACCGACGCCGTAGGAGGAAAGTTCGGTCAACGGGCGGGAGAGATAACTCCGGACTAAGTAGCGAATGATTAAGCCGGAACACCGTAGATCGTATGCTTCTGCCGCAGCCGTTCCTATCTACGCCTCTGAGTAACAATTAGCCGCTCCCGGTGAATGCTCTATGTTCGAAATCCCCCTCCCGATTCCAGCCATTCAGACACTCGACCAGACTAGGCACGAAGAAAGCTTGCCAAAGATAATAATAATCACAGCGTAGTTAATTCGTTCTGTAGCTTTTCGTGCTAGTCGAGATTACGCGCCAATTGAGATTTAAAAGGAGATACTTTTAGCGGTTAGTAGATACAATTGTCTCCATTTGCTGATCACTCGTATGTATTTTTTGTATATACCCGGCTTTGACGTCACGTGGTACGTCGATGAGGCGTCGAGTGGGAGGGCGATGTTAATTTTTAATTAATAGTATATCGTTCGGAGGCGAAACGACACGAATCGGATCCGCGTCGCGGCAAACAAGCGGAATCGGTAATAGATGCGGTCGACAAATTTGTTTTTGCCGGTCGGGGAACGGCCGATAATGGTCTTTGCTTCTAATTAGCACGGGCCATTAGGTTTATCTATGACCGTTAAAGTCGTCGAGTTTCGTTCTTGTCCCCTGGCTGCGGGCGAAACGACTTCGGGGGCTTACCCCGGCGCGTTCTCGTGCATTTATCGAGGCAATAATACGCGACGATTAAAAAATAATTTCCGCGCGCGATAAAACGGAAAATTCAATTTCCATCCCCGCGTCCATTCTCGGATCGACGCGTTCGCGGTTTGTCCCTGCAATTGATTTCGATCGTCAAAGAAATTCTTTGTCCGCCATTAGCGAGCTTCCTTTCCATCCGTGCTTTCGCCGTTCGCGCGCGGAATAAGTTTAATCGTCGTTAATCCTTCCTTTTATTTTTCATTCCCGACACGACTGCCCGGCTAACGAGTTTCCCGAACACGCGATAGTCAGCACTTGCGTTGTCTTCGGGTTCGTCGCGAGTGTCCTGCAGCCGAGGCGAGACCCGGCATCGAAACCGTGCTAAGTTAGCCGTGTTACCGCGCGTTGAATAGTTTGCAAGTCCATTATAGCGGCGTTAAGGCCGCGTATCTTGCACACGTTGCAACGGACGCGTGTGTGTAAATCTTCGTGGCCCGGTGGGTGTAGCTGACGCGAGTGGAAAACAGAAAACGGCGATCTATCGGCTGCACCGGACCTTAAAGGTGCCAGTTTGCTACTTTCGTAACATTCCCATTGCCCACGAAAGTGTTCGTACGCATGCAAGAAATAAATGAAACGAAAGAGATATTTATGTTAGAGTTCTTAATAGCTATTAGACACAAGTATCAGGATAATATGTGCAAAATTTCAACTCGATCCAACAGTGTATATAGAAATTAAGAAGCATTTACATTTTTCACTACGTTAGTATTTGGTTGGACCCCCTTTTGCCTTAACTACTTCACTTGGACGTCGTCCCATGCTGTGCACCAAGTTTTCCGTCACTGTGGGTTCAATGGAATTCCATATTTGTAATATTTTTTGTTTTAATTTGTGAGTTTAAATATTTTTATTTCATCTAAAAAGTTCAGTACCTACTCGAATTTTTTTCTCGAAAATGGGTAGAATTTCGAGGGTATGTCCATTCACCAAAAATGATTGTAATTAACCCCTGCAACTAAATATAATTTTTTTAGTATGATTCGAAATTTTTTAATTTCGTCTAAAAATTTCAATACCTACTCCAATTTTTTTCTCGAAAATGGGTAGAATACCGAGGGTATGCCCATTCACCAAAAATGATTGTAATCAACCCCCCCAACTAAGTATAATTTTTTTACAACGATTTGAAACTTTTCAATTTCGTCGAAAAATTTGTCTACCTATTCGAATTTTTTTCACGAAAGTGCATAGGATTTCGAGGGTATGTACATTCACCAAAAATGCTCGTAATTGCCCCCTGCAGCTAAAAATAATTTTTTTAGAACGATTTGAAAAAATTTTTTTTCGTCGAAAAATGTAGGCTGTCGATTTCTCTTAAATATTCGTTTTTCATTTTTAATAAATTTGGTTGCCGCTGTACGGAAAAGTTGTTTAATACTTTTTTGTACGTATCCACGAACTCTAGTTCCCCCCCAAATTTCAATGAAATATATTCACTATTGTAGGAGTTATGGCTGTTTGAAAATTGGACCATTTTTATGGGGTTTTCCTTATTTTGCGGTGTGAAGGAATAACTTTTCGAATATTTTTAGAATTTTTGCATATTCTCCACTAAAATACGCGTTGTTTGAATTTCGAAACATTAGAATCGTCCAATCCGTTCAGAAGTTATGACATTTTGAAGATACTCATGACATTTTAGGGAAGCTCACGTTAGATTTTCGTTAAGGAATTTTTTTCACGAAAGTGGGTAGAATTTCGAGGGTATGTCTATTCACCAAAAATGCTTGTAATTAACCCCTGCAACTAAATATAATTTTTTTAGTATAATTCGAAATTTTTTAATTTCGTCTAAAAATTTCAATATCTACTCGAATTTTTTTCTCGAAAGTGGGTAGGATTTTGAGGGTATGTCTATTCACCAAAAATGCTTTTGCAATAAAATTAGACCCTTTATAATGTTTTACAAATTTTTTTTGAGACAAAGCTTTCTCCTAATGCGAAGAATAAGACACCATCATCATATACGCAACGATATATCGTCGTTGGCACTTTTCGCAAGTGTTAAATTCATTGTCACTGAACACACGATAATCGACAACTAACGACATAGAATTTACCATACGATGCTTAGAGATGGAATCAACTTACAAATGTTTACATATTTTGAAGCAAAACAATGTTTACTTCAATAAATTCCACGCGTTCCAACACTTTCCTGACCCTCGTGCAGTACGATTGTACAATAAATGCTTCTTAATTTCTATATACACTGTTGGATCGAGTTGAAATTTTGCACATATTATCCTGATACTTGTGTCTAATAGCTGTTAAGATGTTATCTTCGAAACTGAACTCTAACATAAATATCTCTTTATGATATCACTGTACACAGCGATAAGAAAGTCTAATATTCACCGTGAGGAGTAACAAACGTCTTCGACAAATTGAGAATCGATATTTCATTTGAATTTGAAGAAACATCCAAGCTCGTGGTCCGTTGCATGCCAATCGATGCAGAAAATAAACATCAATTTCGGGGACGCAATAACTCGGTGTTTAACGAGTTAATGACCCTGATAATGAGCGTGCAAGGTGGGAAAATAACGAAGGGGCAATAATGGAGTAATGATGGCGTGCTAATGATAGTATTATGAAACGCACGAGGACCCTATCAGGATTCCCGCGATGCACGCATGCGGCCAACTCGAAAGCCACCAATCCCGGAAGCGCGGAATCGTTTCCGCGATTTTTCACGACGATCGTTGCCAGGCTCTTCGCGTTTCGGCGGTTTGCTTTTTCACCCAGCTTCCTTTTCTCCACTCTTCGGGTTGCAGCGAGTTAGCAAAAGAGCTCCGGGCGCGGATATCGCGAAGCTCATATCCCAAGGCACTCTTTTCCCCGACGTTCCTCCGCCCTCTCCACCTTTTTCATCGGCGTTCCTTCTCGCGGAACGACCATTCCTCCGCGTTCCCCGGCGATACGCCGCTATCTAAGGACTCCAGGGAGACCCAGCCCGGGTATTACATCGGTTTCCGCGTTTATTAATCTCGGAATTACTTCGCGGGAAACGCGACGGCACTACCCGCCAAAAAAGAACGAAAAGATAGACGAACAAAGCGTGAAAGAAAATGGAAAGAGCCGGACCACCGTATATTCGAACATGGACGAAAAATGAACTTTCGCCGATTGCGTTCTCTGTGGAAATACGAGCTTCATCAACGTTGCAATTAGTACTCGGGGAAAGCAGCGGTTCGGGAATTTTTCCGCGACCGAAACCGAGGATCGAACGAGCCTGGAATTTGTAATCCTTCCCTGCAACGTGTAATAATCATCACCCGTGAACCTCTCAGTTTTTTAGAGCTGGACCGGACGAACGATGTAACCTTCGAATGGTACAGGTATTCAAATATTATGCACGAACTTTGAATGATCGAGTATGCTTTGAAATCTGTACAGTAATGCTTGGGGAACAACAATTCTTAGAATCGTCGAAATGCTCGAGTACTCGAGTACGAAGGATAGAAGTCAATCGAAAGGCGAGATGGCGAAGTAGCGCGTTTGCAAAGTAAACATAGCAAGGGACAAGGGGAGTATCCTTGTTTCTTAGGTTCTTGGTTATAAAGTCGAGCCAAGGACCTAAACCGATGTTTTGCCTCTCGCGTCGTTTAGTTCGCAGTTATTGGCGTCGTCTCGGTTCTCGATAGCAGTTCGTTCTCGCGAGTCGTCGAAGTGACACGTTACTTACCTTTCAGAATCGACGGCGTGGCTCGTCGCGGGCTCGAAACGAGGCAGCGGCGAAGAAACAGAAGGAAAATAAGAGGCACGTACGGGTGCTGGGAACGCAGGACGAAAGAGGCGAACGGGTATGTCCGAAAGCCGGCGAACGAGAGGATGTCGCAGCCTCCTCGTCGCGAACGCTCGTGACGTTTGGATTGGTCGGGGAATGGAGACGCTGTGTAGAAAATTGGAGAGCCCGGGGAGAACGGAGAAGACGAGGACGCGTATGTAGGAACCTGAACGGGTATTGGGAAGGTACGTGGATGAGGCTACAACAAAACAAAACACGATGAATGTCCCGATGTGCAAGCTGCAAGCAAAACAATGTAGGGAAGATCGATGGTTAGTCTTTGTAGCGTGCGCGAATTACTTGGATAGAGCGAACTATGTTTAATATTACGATCGACGTAAAATTATATTTTGGAAAGTAACGTGTAAAATCATTTCAATGTCCCCTCGTGAGCGTTACTCTATCCAAAGAATTCAGCGAGTATTTGATTAGAAATTAATAGCGGTATATAAATTAGTTAGTTATAGCAGTGGTTCTTAACCTCTTTACCTACGAATTACTAGATAAGAATTCATATTACATCAGAGAAGAAATCGAACAATTCCTTGATACAAGAAACAATGGTGACTTCAATAGATAACATTGATATTTTTAGATATAATCTACAATACAAAAATATTTATTTAATATTTTCCTACAGGTTCGTGGGCCTTCAGAAATCAATCTGTGTAGCTCTGGTTAAAAACCACTTAATCAGAGGGACTGTTGATCGTTAATTTACCTTGACAGTGCCGCGAGATGCGCTAGAAGCGGGCGAGCGTCACGTCCTCGGCGAACGAAGAGAATTTATCCATATCTTGTGTTAGCGTGAAGGAGAGAAACACGTTTCCGTTAATATCCGAAACGAAATTCCTAATTGCAGGCGACAGTGATCCGTCCTTCGATCGATTTGGAATTGCTTTGACCTAAAGACCACTCCAACCTCACGGTCCTTTCAAACTTAACGCGTTAACTATTATTTTGTTGGCTTTGTGACAGGAATTTAATTATTTTCTGTGACCCATAAAACTCAACAAACCGTGTGCTATATCTGCATCACCATTTTTAATACAGCACATACTTTTAACAATGTACAAATAAAACCTATCAAATGAACCGAATATTTCGAATAACATGCACTGGTATTCCATTTAACCGGAACCGTCTGGAGACAAACAATTTCTATAATTGGATCTTTCATATAATAGTTCGCTAATTCATCCCACTATCTATTCATTTTACCGTTCAAATAACCGTAGTCTGCGTTCAGATAAGCGAATTCAATTATACAGATCGGTTAATTGGGCACCGAGTAAATGGAGTTCAAATAAACGGGGTTCCACCGTGTTCGAGCTGTGTGTGTGTGTCTCTCGACAGGGAGGTGCAGACAACGCGACACCGTGTTCCATAGTTTCGTTCTTTGTTCGCAAATACGAATATAAAAAAAAGGTTAACGATCCAAATCGATCGAAGGAATCATCGAGGCCCTGTATGGCGACTCGGGGCTCGAGATCGGCGTGGGAAAGATTGCGTGTGCGTTTTTTCGAGAAGCCGGAAGGTGGGTTCGGCCTCGTACTACACCGGCGGTCGTCTTACGGGCTCTTCGGGGCTCGAGAGCCTCGAGAGCCCAGCACACGGGGTCGAGAAACGGTCATAGTTCTATTTCCGTCGCTCGTGAATCATTCCCGGTTCACCTATCTCTCCTAACGTCGGGTTATAACGCCCGTTATACGGCCCGCTGAAAGATGGCGCGTCCCTGATAAAGTTTCCCCGCGGATGATTTCGTGGGGAGACCGTTAGCACGATGAAAACTTTCGCGACGCGAAAGAAGAGGACCCCGTTACCCTTTCAGTTTTCAGTTTTCCGTTTTCCGCGCCTTTCAGCGGGTTTGGGACCTCCTCGACCCGTTCGACAAACTTTCCAGGCTGTTAAGCGCCCGGTGGAGACGGTAACGATCCGTATTTCGGGACCGTTCGCGTCCTCGAAACGAAATTCGACCGTCTTCCGGTCGCCAACAAGCGACGTAACGACGGAAACTTGACCAGAGAATCGTCACTAAACGGTCCCGGTTCCTCGGACTTCCAACGCGATAAATTCCTCCGCGGTGAAGTTTCAACGACTCTTGGGAATCGCTTTAACGATACTCCCTGTTGTCAGGGTCCCCCTTCGAGTTAAAATTTAGAGATTCCTTGCGGTGGTTTCGACACTGCGTCGACGGGCGTTCCATTCAGAACTTTATTGCTCGACACGTTCCCTGCAATACCGGGGCTGCATGGTCGCATTTTATGAAACCTTCGTTACGCGCTAATAGGATATCTTCCTTCGTCTAGGACACCTCTGTACACTTTTTACAATATTTCCCAGATATAATCAACTCGATAACCAAGTTATTTTCTCTGAAATCGCTCGAAACATCCACCGTATCGATGATTATAATTTAACAAGCGATTTTTGGAAAAGACCCATCAGTCTATCTGTTTACCAGAAAACTGTGGTAAACGTTGGTCGAACAGAGGCGTTGCTCGATCGTTTAGGTATGATTCCACTGAGGCAACACTATGCGACCTGTAGCATGCTACTTGTCATTAACTGACGACATTGCTCGACATGTTCAATCTTGTCGATTCGAACAATATCAAATAATCCCGCATTTCTTTATTTTGGAAAGGAAACAAATGAATGTGTAGCAAATACACATGCCAAGTGTCTACATAACGTCGATTTCATGTTGCATGCGTCATTGCCGCATGCTACATGTTGCCTCAGTGGAATCATGCCTTTAGAAAGTAAGCATCCCCCTAATCCAGACGCGACAATCTATCAGCCTCGTTGGCGCCGTACCGTCGATAGTTGAGCGCGATTCGTGCACGGTACAGGATTAACTCCGACCTGATTGGCGGATCAACCGATTTCAATTAACTAAAAATTACTCCGCGGCCATACCGTGGGCGCCTGATCCCCAAGATCGAGATCTCGGTACGCGCGAGCGGATCGGAGGCGATGCTCGATCGGCCTGCAACGCGGCATTCGAGTGTATAACGAGACGATAGCCCGGCCAACGGGGGGTAATACGTATCAGACTACATTTCACGGTTGATCGAGGCCCGGTTCGCCGCCATAGACAATTTCCCAAAGGGTTCCAGACCGATATAATGGGGGTGGCCAAGGCATATACCGCGGCTACGTAACTCTATCGCATTAGCGCCGACCCAGCTGCCGGTTGGGAGAGTGGGGAGAGACTTGAATTCGTCAATGGCTCGTCCGATGCCTCGGTATCGGGGTTAATCGGGGCTACTCGACGTCGAAGGGTCAATTTACGAATTGTGCTTCGCGGCACGTACGACGATCGTGCCACTTTGCGATCCTCCGTCCTCCTCCTTGCCACCGAAGATGTATACGGAGCTCGAAAAGGGCCTCCTTCGACGCCATTGAAAGGTACGGCCACGAATCTCGTTTAGATCCTCGCGCTTCTTGGAAACTTTCTCGTTCGGATTTATTTGTTGCGGCAGTTTGCCCGGATAATCCGCCATGTTAACTCTCTTTCTCGCGGTCGCAAGCTGATCTATTGTACCGTCGATCGTGATGTATTTAAAATACAGCCCTAACCCTTTGCACTCCTATGTCGAGTGTGGCTCGACAACAGTTTTTATCTCAGGAGTTTTTTATTTAATTGAATTTGTTCCTCTATTTGTTTCAATTACCCCATTTTTTACTTAACGTGAATTTCAAATAAAACACTTGGAAGCGTTGGGAGCTACTGGCAACAAAATTGAAATATAATTCGAAGTGCAAAGGGTTAATCTATCTTCAATTTTTAATCTTCACGCGATCGTGCTCGACTCTAAGCCGCATTTATCGAGGTATCACTGTGTTCTATTCTACAAATAGCAGAATCGTTCAGTCATTAGAATGGCGATGATGTATTTTTACTTCCATTTATGATTCCAGACCCCTCGAATTTTGGTATATCGGCCATTGCGCGTGAACAAAAGGAATCGTCCGCATGCACCGTGGAGGGCTTGGAACTGTCTGACTCCGTTGATGAGCGATACGCGACAGTGGCTAACCGCTTGGCTAGGTTCGGTCCCGGCGACCGTCCCTCTCAGTCGTTATAGTTTAATGCGTCGGGCGGGCGTCGTAATGCGGATTCATTGTCTGCGAAAGCGTCGGGGCGGTCGCTCGCGCGTGTAAACATCGCGTACTCTCGGCAACGGGCGAAGGAATCCTGCGACCGTGTCTCTGAACCCATATACTCCCGACCTCCTTATATCCGAGCGCCATTACCCCCGGGGACATATGTCCTTATACCGGCTCCGTGAGCTTTAATGAAAGCCATAAAGCGCTCTTCGGATCGTGCTTGCGGCGCTATAGCCGGCTATACTGGTTGCCGCGATGGGGATATGCGGTTCGTAGCCCAGGGGCTCCAAGGTCGAGTACACCCTTCGCGAAAGGGCTATTAACAATTGAACCGACGACCAGAATAACGGTTCCGACTCGACGAAAGTATCATTATTGCCAGTAATGAGATCGACGTGGTACGTTGTTCGACGAAATGTCAAGTTGAAAAGTCTGTTACACATCCCAATTTCTTGTAACCGCAAAATTGTAGCCCAGTGGTAAAAAAATGTTAATTTCAAATTCAAATTCAATTCAAGTATATGAAAATTGGTGACAAGTATATTGTAAGCAACCTTTAGGTTTGTAATGAACGAGTGCAGTTACATTATGCGAGAGTTTCGATCAAAGGCATTGCCGACTATGTGTGTGTGTTTCGCGCGAAGTATGCATTTAGAAGTTGTTCATTTTATTAGTTAATAATAATTTAGTTACGTTCGAGTCAGCTTTCCGTACAAAACATTGTATTAAGATATTAAAGGGAAAGTATCTAAAATATCTTATAATATCTTGATAATTTCAATGAAAGCTACATCGATACTTGTTTGATACATCAACACGATCCCTTAGAATTGATACGTATACATATATCTTAATGAATATGTCATTGGATTGGTCCTATTAGTAGGCTCGGATGCCCATGAACCTTGCAGTTGTCGACTAATGGATTAGGTTTGGATTACGTTTGTGTCAGGTCGCGCTCAGCTCGGGGCAGAATTATGGTCGGGACAGCTTTGGGTTAGATTCCTCCGCTGATAGCGAAAATAGTGTGGCGAAAGGGTCGAAGATTGCCCACATAACTATTATTCGAAAGTGGTCCACACGTTCCTCGTTTTTCTAGTATCAATTTTCCACGATCTTCTCATTATATGGACGACATACCATCTTGAAGATTCAGAATCAAAAAAAAATATAGAATAATTTGAAATTAAAGCCTAAAGTTTACGCCGAGAGATATCAAGCGACTCTAATTTTCATCGATACGTATTGCGACGAGAAACGAATACTTCAGCGTCCACGTCATAGAATAAACATGGTAAATATCAATTATAAACTCTCCGTGTATTTCGTTGTTATTCCACGCAAATGAAAATTCGATCACTTAATTCTGCGCAATTGCATTGTTTATCTGATCGTGTAATCCGATCAAAACGTCCTTGAAGCGTTTATTACTCACTCGTGATGCCTCCGCGTCGAGAATTTTAATCGTAAATATTACCGCGAGTCGATAAGTATTCCTTCCTAATTGACGTTTCCATAATCAACGTTGCTTTCGAGCACAAAGCAGAATTTCATACGCTTTAAAAGCTTTCCGTCCGGGACGGAATTTCTCCGACAAAATTTCGTTCCGGGCGGTCTATTTTTGGGAACAATCGAGGTGTTAATAGTTAGCGGGCCGCCTTGCACAGTGTCCATGAATCC